GAGTTTAACTTCAGGGGTGCAATGATGGCAGAGAAGATAAAAAAAAATAAAGCAAAGGCTGAGCGAGAGAGAGAGAGAGAGAGAGAGAGAGAGAGAGAGAGAGAGAGAGAGAGAGAGAGAAATCATAACACATGAGTGTAGCTGTACCGGCTGGTGCTTCAATCCCACCATGCCTCCTCTGACAAATCTGCCTGTCTCCCCTTGGCTGATGGTGTCTATAATAAGTCCTCACTGCACAGTTGGAAGTTGAAAAGCTCATTCTTAAACTGAGCCTCAGTCCCCGTTTCCAAGAAACTCAGAAGTCTGTTGTCATGGCCGTCAGATGTTTTTGAGTAGCTAGTGTACCTCCATGTAATTAATCCCGAGAAGGTCCAGTCCCGGCAGTCGTTCACTGTGTAAAGATGCACTCACTGTTTGCCGCTAGCAGCATTCATTGTTCCGGCTGGGAGATAGTCTATCAGCTTCCTTGTTGAATCTGGCTGCCAGGGAGGGAGTTGGGTGACCCAGGGAGGCACCTGAGAAGCCAAGGTTAGAACAGAAAGTGTCCCCTGCATGTGATCCTAACTGCTTTCCCCCATCCCCCTGAACTCTTGGGACATCTCAGTTGATGGGCATCGAATCCCATGTGGGCAGCCAGCAGGTAGGCATGCCCTAAGAGGCTGCACTTTGTAACTTAGAGGCCCATCGTATGCAAGGCAGGAAACTCAGTCAGTGTGTCACTAGGGCTGTCATTTCCCTCTCTGATGGGCAGCCACAGCCTTCCCTGGGGAAAGGAGAGCTTTCATTTAACACTCATTGATTTCATGGCATGCCCTGGAAAGTTACTGGACTGGAGGCGGGGCGGGGCGGGGGATCAGAGGTGGAAGCCTTTCAAACAAACCAGATTGCCTTCAGCCTGGAGTAAGTTAAGGCACCTGTGGTTCCGTTTTCTTGGAAGGCAGACAGAACCGTTTGAGGCTCTTGGAGTTTGCCAAGCAACATGCCAATTACAGAGCAGTGAACACAGCTTCGCTCCACAGAGACCACGTTCCCACAGCGGCAGCTTCACACGCACATCCTCCTCCTGCTGCTGCTGACTACCAGTGACTAGCAGTGACTGGGTAGTTAAGATGTCCGGGGCTAGTGCTAAGCTGTGACCGATGCAGAGTCTCCTTTAATCTTCTCAACAATGCTACAAGGGAAGTATTTTGATCGAGGCCCATTTTACAGATGAGGCTCTGAGGGTTAATCAACTTGGCTTTGATCGCTCATATATAAGCTGTAGGACCAGGAATCTAGGAGCTCTTGTTTCCAGAGACACAGAAGTGAAGCTGGATGGGAAGAAGAGTCCTCTCCTGCAACAAAACCAGCACATTTCAGTGGTGCATTTTTAAAAGGAGTCTTCCTTTTCTTGTGAGTCCGGCATTTCCTAAGGAAAGCCTTAAGGTCTGGAGTGTTCTGTGTAAGTGGTTCTCTCTTCTTAAAGGCCTGATTAGTCACCAGGCGGCAATCACACAGGGAAGTGACCACCCCAATACCTGTGTGTCAGGGGGGCAGACCAAGCAGAGCTAAAATTGGCAAGGTCACTCGAGTGCCCAACAGCTAGGGCATAGCCCTCTCTCGAGGCTCTAGGTCTCAGCTCTCCTCTGATTCGCTTAGGAAAACCTAACCTGTTCCCAGGGCCTTCCCGTGTCCCTGAAATGGATAGATATGTTTCTCAGATAGGCCACCGGATGGCGATGCTGTATGCTGCATGCTTTTGTTTCAGTTCCTTCTGGCATCACCATGACAACCCAAGGCCAGTGACAACAGTGTAGCCATGAGCAGGAGCGAAGGAAAGCGCCACCTCTGCCACCTTTCGGGTCGGAGGGGTCCTCCTGTGCCCTCCTGTGAGTGTTTGGCATGACATGGATCAGAGCACCTATCACAAGCTCCAGGAAGAGTCTGATCATGGCCAGAGTGCCTCCATACTGTGGCACTAGAAATCAGTCAAGTCTTCCTCAATCTGGCGTCAGCAAGTTGCTGAAGGTCAAAATTAATTCCCCATATTTCATAGGAGAGAGGAACATGAAAAGAGATTAATCCTGTTACACTTGGTGGGTAGAGAAATTTA